GCCAGCTCAGGTGTATGTGCCTGGTGCCTTAGCCACTTGAGCCACAGGTGCCAAGCCAGGAGGGCTGCTTAATCCCAAGAGTTTGAGGTTGCTGTGGGCTGGGATGACTCCCCGGGAATAGCCTGGGCAACAAGAGTGAGACTGTTTTTGAGACAAGAAGTGATTTTCCTGCATTGGCCTCCCAAAGTGCTAGGATTCTTACCTCTTTTCTTTCATTTCTATCTGAAATCAACATTTGCTATGACTTACTGAAATCAAGTTGCAACTTTGTGAGACCTTTATACAAAGAAAAGCATTGCTCCTTTATTGGAAACAAAGTATACCTTTCCTTCCCATTAATTTACTGCAGATTACCTTTGACAATGTGCTGAAGTCAGCAAATCCATCTCCAAATGATTCATTTCCAAAAACAGAAGCGAAAGGGTCTGTAGCTAAAATGAGTAAGGAAAATCAATGTGAGAAACAGAAACCACATTTCATGTCATCTTTCAGTTAGTAACTTTCAGACATGAAAAATATCTAATCTCAAACATTAATTCCTAAATTTATTACTGGCATCCACAAGAATACACACTGACAATCCCACAAAATATATTCCTTTGTATAAATCAGCTGATTCAAAATCAAAAACAGGTGAACTAACTCTAGGTAACTCTAGTGTTTAAGGCTTTTGGAATACATGTCAAATAATATAGCCCCTGTGAACTTAAATCATTTTAATAAAGACATCAAGAAGTGCAAAAAGCTAATACCATTAATGCCACATTTCACATTTATTTTTCCAGGCCCACTTCAAATGCTACCTCATCCATAAAGCATGGAGTAACCGAGGTATCATTAATTCCCACAGCAAGAAGTGATTTTTTTTGGCTTGGAAGAATCACAAACGAGAAAAAAAAAAGACCAACAACAAAAAGAAGTGATTTTCTTCCTTCTCCACTGCACTAACTGCATTCTAGTTTGTATTGTGGTTATCTTTGATTGATAGTCACCTTTTTCTTATTTTGAGCCATAGTCTTGCTCTGTTCCCTGGACTAGAGTACAGTGGCATCATAATGCTCACTGCAACTTCCAACTCTTGGGCTCAAGCGATCCTCCTGCCTCAGCCTCCTGAGTAGCTGGTGCTATAGGCATGTGCCACCACACCCAGCTATTTTTTCTAACTTTTATGTAGATAGCATCTCGCTATTGCTCAGCTGGTCTCAAACTCCTTGGCCTCCCAAAGTGCTAGGATTACAAGTGTGAGCCAATCCCTTTTTGACAGTAAGGCGCTTGAAAACAGGTAACAAGGCCTACCTAAAGAATGAGTAGCCAATAAACATTTATTGGCCATATACCTAATCCAAGGAAGTAAGAAGATACGGTTCCTAAAAAAAAAAAAATAAAATAAAATAAGAAGATACAGTTCCTAACCTTGGAAAGTTCACGGTCTAGTGAAAGATAAGTAAACAACAATAACAGAGTCTACTATGGGCTATTAGAGAGGTATGAAAAACCTAAAGTAGGAGTCACTTAGGTTTGGGACAATCAGTAGCAAAGAAGCCATTACATCTGAGCTTTTGAAAAGTCTCTTGAATAAGGATTGGGGTTTGCCAAATATCTGGATATGTGGGAAAGACATCAGGCTACCAGGCAGAAAGAAGAGTAACTGGAAAAGCATTACTTAACATCCACAAGCATGAGAGTTACCTCTCCTACCACGGTTGCACTTACCAAGTAGACTAACATTTTCAGTTGGAATGACATTATCTACTTTGAGATAGCTTCACCTATTCAGGCATTAGGACTACCAATAACATCAAAGAATGTTTATATGAATTGCTGCCTGATATAGAAGGTGGAAAGAAATGAAGGAAAGAACTGGAAAGGAAGGAGAAGAAAGAAAATTATAAAAGAGAGGGCGAGAGGGTGGCGCCCATAGCTCAGAGGGTCGGGTGCTGACCACATACATCAAGGCTGGTGGGTTGGAACCAGGCTTGTGCCAGCTAAAACAACAATGACAACTGCAACAGAAAAACAGCCAGGCGTTGTGGCAGGCACCTATAATCCCAGCTACTTGGGAGGCTGAGGTAAGAAAATCGCTTAAGCCCAAGAGCTTGAGGTTGCTGTGAGCTGTGACACCACGGCACTGTACTGAGGGTGACATAGTGAGACTCTGTCTCAAAAAATAAACAAACAGAGGGTGAGACAAAGAGGCAAAGAAGAATTCTCCTTCATTTTCTTTAATTTTTCTTCTTTCTATCAAACCACTCTTAGAACTTCAGAAGTATGCCCACTCACCCATTTAAATGTATAAAATATACCTACACCTTTAAAAATGAGGGGAGCAAGGAAGATGTATTTTTGTTTGCTTTGTCACCAAGACAGTTATAAAGTAGAAGTAGGTGAAGTGCGTGGGTAGAAGCATAGAAAACTCACTCCCTTAGAGATAGATATACCAGCTATGATCCTGAAGAAGTTGCTGAGAAGTCCAGTTACAGGAAATGCTACGACTTCAGCTATGAAACGTTTCTTTATCAATACATAACGAATGCCCAGCC